TACGCAAACATGCGGCGGTGCGCATACGTGCAAAAATTGAGCCACACATGTCGCACATCGTCGCGAGCTTCGGAGTGTGAGCAATAATTCTAGGGCCAGCAATCACTGTTAGCAGTAAAAGCATTTAAAGTGTCCCCTATGAGAAATTTGGGGTATTGATTTTTTTGGTGGCTTCACGGACGCGCGCAATTTTAAGGATTGACATGTTTGGTGTCTATTTACCCGGCGTGACCCCGTCTTTTATATTTTACCAACAAATTGGGTATTATATTCGGTCTCTGTGCACTAAATTTCATTTTGGTGTATGTTATCCTAAAAATACCGGTTTGATAAACATTTGTGCAAATACCGTGCGACAACAAATTGCAACTGGCATCTATTTATCCTCCACTGCTTCTGCTTTCAGAGAATATATCGTTGTTGGGGGTCTGAAGCTGTTTTCTAGCCGAAAATTCCGATCTTATCACCAGAAATTGCACCGGGCAGGAAGTGGTTAAATGAAAAAGGTTTTTGTGTCTGATTTCCATCAGCTTATTATTTCGATCAGTGACACCGTCGCTGAGCTTTCCTCTCACTTCCTGTCTCTGTGACTCCCATACAAGAAATGGGATTCGTGCGTGTCACCGGGACAGGAAGACTTGGATGGAAGCATCGCGATAAAGTTCTCGTCTTGGATTGTTGGGGGTTACAAAATGCTCCCCAGATTCTCTTGTAGCTCCGAGGTCGGGGGTCACATCTCTCCGATAACACCGTTCCCTACTCTGCTGAAAGTGCGTTTTTTGTTTTTTCCTTGTTTGGGAGATTTCTCATCTTTTCTTGTCCAGGGAGGAAGTGAAATCTCCCCATTAGAAGCTCCAACCCTTCCCAGCTCTCTCCAAATAAAAGGGCTTCAAGGGCCCCATCACACCATAAAGAGGGCGTTCTAGTGCGTTCAGGCCTCTGGAACGCAACCCAGCCGGCTCACTTTGTTGTGGGGCGGGAGGGGGCGCGGCGGTGCACTGAAGTCAATGGCATGTACTATTTTTGCAGGTCGCACTGGACCGGAACGCAGGCACTAATGCGCCACGCTTTCAGGTGCCGGTGATCGCACTGTGGGCAAAACAAAGTGAGCCGGCCGGGTTGCGTTCCAGAGGCCTAATGCACTGAAACCAGTGGCATCACAAGGGCGGTGCGGCCCGCACCCGGGTGACACCATTGGAGGGGTGGCACCAAAATGACAGTCATTTTGGTGTCACCCCCCTCTAAAAAGTCGGGCACTCAGTCACGGACCGAGAGCCCGATAGTGTCAGGAGAGAAGAGGGGACCCGGCGGCATACCTCATCCCGCCAGGTGAACGTGCCCTCCTCTCTCTGCCGGCGTCCATCACCAAGATGGCTGCCGTCAGGCATCAATTAGATTATCGCACATGAGTGATGATGTCACGGCCGGTTGTCACCCGGCCTGGAGACGCCCCTGACTGGAACGCACTCTTGCTGGTGTGACTGGGCCCTAAAAGCGGAGGTCTGAGACGCATACATGGGTGTGAAATCACATTATACGGAGACATCAAGGCTTCCGTATAAAGGGGATCCAACAATAACTTCGAGCCAACTTACCCATCGTCCTTAAAGTGTATCCAACCCCCAACACATAATTATCACATCGCAGCTTACCCGTCCTTAGATGTTCCTTTTCTCTTTTCAGACTGTTTCTTCCTTTTATCTTCCTACACACTTCCTGTCTTAGGGTGGCTCCACACTACGGCGGAGCAATAATGGAGTCACCCTTGGACAGCAGCGTTGTCACCCTGTGGGGGAGGGTGGTGTTAGATGCTCTGGACCTGAATATCCCATTCAATCTGAACTCCAGATGACACGTCTTCATCTGTTACAGGAACACTTTTTATTTTTCCCCTTTTGGAATAAAGGTTTTAGATAAAGGAATAAAAGCCGACCATTGTAAGCCAAACCCCCCTCCCTCCCCCTTTCAGTGTGAGATGGTTTGTCCCAACCCTCTATCGGCCCCTTTGGCTGGACAGCTTGGCCTGATAAAGGAAGGTGAAAAATAAGACTTGCCGGCCGGATCACAAGGTGGCGATAAAGGAAAATAAAAAAAAACGAATGCAGCCGCCACATCTAAAGGAGTCCTAGAGTCCCGGCGTCTCCTCTCCTGTTATGACATCATCAGTGTAATAAGAATACATACCAGAGATGTGTCTGATAATACAATCAAAGCTTTTATGTAGGGAGCGCCGCCTTCCGTCTGCCCATCACTTCCATCAACTTCCTGGATTCCCAGAGTGCTTTGCGTCTCTTTCCCTGCTGCTTGATGTGATGCAATCTCCATTTCTCAAGACTACATATCCCATCATGCACTGCTTCCAGCAACCAATGATAATGTTGCATTGTTCAGACATTGAGCTGTAGTTCAGAAGGCGGGCTCTGTGAGAGCGGTGACACCAGGAAGTTTATATGGACAGGGCTGAGTGACATGGTGTCAGTACATTCAGGAAGTCCATCCAATGGGCATCTATATTGAGTGAACAAACCTCTAGATGGATCTGGTGATTGGCAGCGGGAGAGAACTTATGGAAATTCAATACAGAAACACATTTATTTATTTTTTTCACCAGAGTTCCCCTTTAAGGATCGGTAATCTGCAATATCTGATATTTCTACAACAATGACAGAATCTCTGAGCTTCCCTAAAACTGTTCTGTGTTGTGTGTTTCCATTCCGGAGATTCAGCTCATTTCACGTCCCAGTGACCCCACAGGAAGTTAGGGGGACACAGCAGTTAAAACCTTCCTCGGTCCCCCCTTCCCCCAGTGATTAGACTGCTGCAGGCAGGAGGAAGCATTTCCGCAGTCTCCCCTCCCCCAGTGATTAGACTGCTGCAGGTAGGAGAAAGCATTTCCGCAGTCTCCCCTCCCCCAGTGATTAGACTGCTGCAGGTAGGAGGAAGCATTTCCTCAGTCTCCTCTCCCCCAGTAATCGAACTACAACACTGTCACAAAGTCACAAGGTGAGAGGCTGCAGCAGGAGCTGATCTGTGTCAGAAATTTGTGAACACAGCCAGGAACTGCACAGACGCCAGGATTTACACGATGATGTCATCTCTGAGCTGCCGTCTCAGTCCAGGAAGTAGAAGGTGAGCCTGGATGATGGCCGAGCAAAGAAGGTGCCGACTTACTGGAGAGAGGAAAGCAGATGAAGGCATTGTCAGGAAGTCAGCTCTGTGAGAGGTAATAAATACAGGAAGTGACACAATTCTCGGCGTGCTGCATTTATCATGAAGATATTTCTGAAGCTCTCAGTGTGATTCTGTTCAGGTTTATTAAGAAAAAAGTTCCCTCCAGGTGAATCATAAACATTCCGATCATCGTCAGTGAATGTTCGAGGAGAATGTGACCCTCCCTGGCCTGAGGAAAGGCAGCGTGCAGACAGAAGACTGGAGAGAGCGAGCGGAGAGAGAGCGCATGTGTGTATCTTTTATTGGGGGGATTGTGACACTTGAAGAGCCTGAACAACGCGTGATCCCAGCACATGAACACCAGTTACCGTTCCCATCCGGGAAGTTCGATCAGCGCGCAGCGTGTTGCGTTCTTCCCGCCGGATTCATCTTCTGTACATTTACATGTTACATGACAGATAACGTCAGCGGACGGCGAACGCACCGAAAACGCAATCGGCATTTTATCAGAGCGTTTCTCTCTCCAGTCACATGTCTGATTTCTGATGTGCCTGCAGAAAAAAGGACGCAGTGTACACGTAAACCGCGTACGGAGCTGCTACGCGTTTATAACACAATGGTGAGAACGCGTCCTTATGAGCGGGGGGGGGCCGTCCCAGACTTGTAAGGGGACGGTGATGTTGGCCTTGGATGGGGGTGGAGGTTGCAGCGAGTCGGGCTCGAGCTGCTATTTATATCGCCCCCTTAGGCCGTGTCCTGTCACTGAACCTCCAGCCATTGATTCCCGATACTGTCATGGGCGGCCGTCTGTTACCCAACTATATGAAGGACGAGACCATCACCGCGCCGGAGCGCCTGCCCAGTCCAAACTTCCTCTCCCTTCTGTGCCGATCCCAAATCTGTCAGATACTTTTCACCAATTCGGAAAGATTTTTCACCTTTTTTTTTTTTCCAACAAATTTTCACCTCCTAATTTTCTCTAAGATCCAATATTTTCAGCGGAAAGACACTGAAGAAGGAATGTTCTGGATTTTCAGCCGCCCGTCACCTTCTCCATACATATGAAACTGCAAAACTACTCATACACTCCCTTGTTATCTCTCGTCTTGACTATTGCAACTCTCTCCTCATTGGCCGACCTCTACACAGGCTCCTCCCCCTTCAGTCTATCATGAATGCAGCTGTTAGACTCATTCACCTAACCAACCGCTCAGCATCTGCAACCCCCCTCTGCCGATCCCTGTACTGGCTTCCATCACTTCACCCCCCTCTGCCAATCCCTGCACTGGCTTCCATCACTTCACCCCCCTCTGCCGATCCCTGCACTGGCTTCCACTCGCCCAGAGGATAACATTCAAAATATAAACAGTCACTTATAAAGCCGTCCACAACTCCGCCCCCGGATATATCTCAGACCTTGTCTCTAAAATATCACCCTAACCGCCCCCTCCGCTCATCCATTGACCACCTGCTTTCCAGCTCCCTCGTCAACTCCTCCCATACTCTCCTGCAGGACTTCTCTAGAGTCTCTCCCATCCTCTGGAACTCCCTACCCCAACCTGTCCGTCTATCTCCCACTCTGACTGCCTTTAGGCGATCCCGTAAGACTCATCTCTTCAGGGAAGCCTATCCCACCTCAACCTGACCGCTCAACCATCATGTTCTCAAACAATTCATCCCCACACAGCTACCTCCTCATGTATCACTTGCCCCTCCTCTTTTAGATTGTAAGCCCTCAGGGGCAGGGCCCTCCTTACCACCTTGTCTTGAATTGTATTGTGATTGTAATGTCTTCCTTATATTGTAAAGCGATGCGCAATAATATACTGACCGCGGTGAAATCAGCGGCAGCCATTTTGGCGGTCTTTGGGAATACGCCCCGTGTTGGGACAGATTGAAGTGTCGGTCCAGGGAAGACGTATTTTACTTTTAGTGTCATGCAGGTCACCCTCC